GAGTTAGTGATTTGCATCTATATAATTGGTACTACTAAAATTGATTATTTATAGTATAAGTAATAATTGCATAAGCGAAGCAATGCTTTCAATATTACCTATAAATAATTAGTACTTTATTTATTATCACTTTTACAAATAATTTAGTAGTCACAAATAGATTTAGTTATACTATTAGATCTAGCTTGAAAGACCTTTTAAACAAGCTATAATTCATAACTATAGAACTTTTAGTTTTAGAGTTGTCTTAAAAACAACTATAATTATTTTACTATTCTTACTATTCTTACTGTTCTTACTGTTCTTACTATTCTTACCATTCTTGTTACTAGTTATAAAAAGCTATATAAACTCTCCTTTTTCCCTTTGACCCAAACTAGATTTGATTTTTGCAATCTCCTTAATATTAGAATTTTCTTAGTATAGAAACTAATAGATAGTCTTATATTATCAATATTGTATTTTAAATAAAATATAATCTTTGCTCTTTCATTAATTTTGTAATGAACTGCTACAGTAAAGTAATATTCTACTTAGACATCATTGAAAGCCTCTCTTCTGTATCTTATATTACTTGTGTTGCAATAAGAAGACTAATACTTATAACAATATGTATTGGTTTTAATATGCTATTTTCTAAACAAATAGCATAATTTGGATTTTCTAATATATTATGCTTCATGAATATATGATCTAGTCTTCATATTATTATTCTTACTACTATTTTTTTGAATGTTTTTAGTAGTACAATTAGTCTTATATTTAAAAGATTGTAATTCTAGTCTTCATTCTTTGGAATTAGATACAATTATTCTAGTTTTTATTTGACTAGAATATCACTTTTTTCTAGGCATTAGTCTGCTAGTATTCTAAATAGCTTTTGTATAGTAATTCCTGCTTTTTTAATTAGAAAGTAGCTTATTTCTGAAATACCAGATACTAACTTGTTCTTTGTCTTGCTAAGAGAACTTTTTTATTCAGTTTCTGTTACTTTATCTAGAAGGTTATTATATATTTTTTTATTTATTCTTTTAATTAGACTATATGTTTCAGTTTATCTTTAAGAAAGCTTTTCTAGCTCTATGCTTCTTTTTTGAAACTATTTAGCAAAGTGTGATTTAACTTCTCCTAATACTTTTTTGTCTTTTGTCAATAGGACTTCTTCTTCTTCAATTAACTTTATAACTCTGTTTACTTTAACTTTTTTCAATAGCTTTTCTAGCAGACTATTAAGTATACCTCTTAACTCTTCTTGTATTGTTTCATATCATGTATCTATATATTTGTTAATTTCTAATACTTCTTCCTTTTTTTTTTTTGTATTGTACTTTTGTGTTTAGTATCTTTCACTAATTCTTTAGATCTTTTTTTCTTTTTTCAGACTATTAGTTTTCTAGTACTTTATCTATCTCTAGCTTATACTTACTATTAAGTTTGCTAATTTTTGTATTAGCTCAAATTCTGTTTTCTTTCTTTATAATAGCTCTTTCTTCTTTAGCATACTTGTGACATATTTTTTTAGAAGCTTTAGATCTTTTTGGATTTCATCACTATTGTTTCACTTTTTTCTTAAGGCTATCTTAGAATCTATTTTATAGTATGAAAAAGAAGAGTATATACTACTAATAATACTATCTGAGATAATATCTCATATCTTATCAATATTTTTTGTTTTGTATTTCTTTTCAGTTATTTCTATATTCTCACTCAGATTTAGCTTCTTTCATAATTTCTTATCTAGCTTTTCTTAGTAATTTTCCTAATCTTCTTTTTGTACTTTCTTTAAATTTAGAATTTTCTTTTTCTCTTTTAACTATTTGCTAGTTGCTAGTGATCTAGTTCTTTCTATAATATTTGTTCCTATTTTTGCTACTACTATACTATAATCACTACCTATAATACAAGTTGTTTTACTACTTTTATAGCTTATTACTTATTAGCTAAGTATATTTGATACTCAGATATAATTAATTCTTGTATTAGATATTCTATTTGTCTATATAAACTCTTTTTATATGAATGAATTTTTCTAAAAAGATCTTCTAGTTTTGAGTTTTTTAGCTATCTAAATAGTGAGAGTAATTGTTTTCTAATCAAGAGTTCTTTATTTTAATCTAACTCTTTGTTTCTGATATCATTAAAATTCCTTATAACTATAACCTAAGTTCTGTTTTTTTCATATTCTCATATCTTTCTGATAACTTGCTACTGAATTTTCTTTTTTTCTTCTTTGTTATTTGGTGAGATATATATGCAAATAATAACCAGTTTGATCCTTTTAAATACTAGCAATATATCAATATAATAGTTACTAAATCTTTAGATTTGTCTAATATATTTTTTCTAGTATTTGCTAATAGTTAGTTTTACTTCTAATATTTTAATCTTATTCTCATCTGTATTAGTCCAAAAACCTATATAGTTACTATCTTTTTGGATTAAATATTTGCTTTGTCTTTTTGTGATATTAGTCTTGTTTATTTCTACAATATCTATTTTTTTTTTTATGCCTATTCTAATAGCAATTCTACTTTATATTTATTTGCCTTAAGTCTATTTAAATTATGCATAGCTAAAAATAATATTTTAAAGTCTTTCTCATCTCTATTTGCTTCAGTTCTTACTCTTAACCTTATTTCACTAAACTCTAAATTGTTCACTTTTTTGTAGTTTCTTTCTCTATTTGCTTTCTTTGAGTTTACAAGTTTTTCTTTTTGTATACTTAAAGCTTTCTGTAATTTAACTAGTACTACAATTTAAAAGCAATTTGAGACTCTATAGTTCCAAAATTCATTATCAGTTTTATTATCTGATCTTTTATTATTACTTTTTTTCTTTACAATAGATATTATACTCTTTATAATTCTCTTTATATTTTCTTTTTTTCCTCTTGTCTTCTTATACTTACTGCTTTTATTTAATTGTAATCTTCTTCTTGTTTTTTTACTAACCCTATATATCATTTTCTGTTTACTTTCTTCTAAGTTCAATGATTCTTCTTTGTCTTTACTTGTCTCTACTAAAGTAGATTCTCTCTAATTCTATTTGCTTGCTAGACTTT